CCCCTTTAAAGTGTCCTCCTTTCGGAGGCACTAAATATGGTAACCCTATCTAAATGTCTGGTGGTTGTTTCTTTTAAACTCTAACCTTATTGAAAGCTAATAAGCAGACACAATGGTTGATGCTAATATCTTTATTATAATGTAATATTTTGATCTAACATATAACATTTGACAGATGACTTCCTTTGTCATTCTGACTTCCATCCTCCAAATGACACAACAGGGTAGGTTCCTCCACAGTCTAACTTTCTGATACAAAGTTGGTGTATTTATAGGAAAACCGCCTTGCTTGCATCTATTTGTTGCTACTTCTTGCTCTCTTGCTTGAGCAGGATTTTTTTTTTTTTTAAATAGAGGACGGAATCAGGGTGTATATTTGTGGGAATAAAATAGAGAACCCAGTTTCTCAAAGGCAAATCTCTTGAGTTTTCTGATTAGCTTTTCTTCATCTGCTAAAGAGCTAGTAATGTGTAGGTCTTGTTCTGTGGCCAGGTACTAGAGATGGTAACGTACAGGGGTATTTCCTCCAGGGCTTCAGAACGGTTCTAGTGTTGAAATACAATCAGCTACACACTGAGACACACTTTTGGCATTGTAATCCTTCCCCAGCTGCCCTCTTCCACAGGGACAGCGGATGGCTTTGCATTGAGACACTAGATGTTTCCTCATTGAAGGGTTGTTTTTGATCTTTGTGTGTAAGAGTAGGTGTTGTGAGCTGCATGTGTTGCTGTGGTTAGTGTGTGTACAGTAACAGGCCGTATTCCCCTGGGAAGCTTCACTTGTGACCCTTATGGTTTCTATCAGAATGTACTTCTGTCTGTTTCTACTTTAAAGTGGAGCTTTGACTAAATCTAATCAATATTTTGCATTCCATGCGTGAAGAACCAGATGTTAGAAGTTTCCTATTGTTGGAAGGCAGGGTGGGAGGGCGGGGGTGAACAGCCCCTCCAGATTTACTGAAATCGATGTTCTCTGAACGAAGTTGGTTAGTTTTCTTTAGGAACAATATATTCTTTTGATTTTTTTTCAAGATGAATTATCATCTAATGAAAGTTCTTGTTTAGTCTTTTGAATTTGTGCTTTGTGTAAGGGAAAATTCTCATCTGGGAAAAGCTTTACTACACGATGGACCATTAAGTGTACTTATCTATCTGTGTGTTTCAGCATTTTCAGTAACGCCCCAGCTAAAAATTGCAGGTGTGTGACTTTCACCCACTTCTCTCCTCTAGTGTAATTCTGCAGTAAAATCACAGTACTGACCTCTGTTGGTTTTCCATGGCAGACTGATGTAGGTCACACAGGATTTTGACTTCACTACAGGATGCAGCAGCAAGTGATGCTAGCCTGAGAGGGCAGGGTTTCTGACTACAACCCACATCCTTAGAACGGGGAACACCACAAATGAGCCACATTTATTAAGTTGTTTTAAATATATTTTCCCCAGGATGTAAGCCTCCCCCCCGTCAATCAAAGCACTGAAATTGTGCCTCTGTCTCCCATAGAGACCATGTCCATAATACTTCTCTGGAATCTTGCATAGTGGTAGCAACACTCCCAGTCAGGAAATACCTTATGAAAGGCTTGGAAGAAAATCCCCCAATGTCAGGTTATTCTGGAATTGCCCTCTTGGGGTTTCTTGCACTGTTTCGAAGCAGCTGGTACTTGTTTCAGTTGGAGACAGGAAACTGGGCTAGATGGACCAGGTTAGCAATTGCTACATCTGTCTCTGTTCATTCAGGGTCTTAGAATTTGAAATTTGTGCCACCAGGACTTAAGAGGCTTCTGCACTCAAGGGAGCAAATACTTTTCTTGTAGCCCCATTGAGCAAGAAATCCGGGGCTGGTGGTAGGAGTGTGTTGCAGAAATCTGAGCTGGGCAGGACAGGGCACTGGGCTGGTTGAGCTGGGCAGGACACTGTCAAATCACTGCTCCCTTGCGTCTTCTTTTGTTTTTTATATCTGAAGCAATTGCTCTTTTTCTGGCTATAGCGTAGGCTAAGTTAATGCACAAAGACAGTAGAGATAAGAGCAGAGGAAAGAAGAGTAAAATGCCCACGAGAGAGAGAGAGCTCGGGAAAGTTTCTTTGAGGGCACCAGAGGGATTGGTGCCTTGGTGGATTCTTCAGATAATACAGTGAATGTAATTAAATACATTATGATCCCAAATGAGACTATTCTAATTAGCTGGATCAGGAATAAATTTATTCTCTTCGCACACCCCTTCTGGTCAAAAGCAGCAGCTCTAGCTCCTATCCAGTTTTAATCATGTCCTTGGCTTGGAAAGATTGTTGATCTCTTTGGCACCTTACTGCAGATCCCTGTGATCCAGACATAAAGAGCTGGGTAATGTGTGTCTTTAGCAGGACATCTGTACCCCAGCCATCGCTGGCAGGTACAACGAGACAGCTGTCTGAAGTCTAGGATAACCTCTCCTCATATAGGTAATGCTTTTTGGTGACAGAACTTGAGAATGCAGCCCAAGATTGGTTGATGTAAATTTCCCCCAAGTAGAACAAATGGGGAAGAAGGCTTTCCTGGGCTGATCTAGAAGGTGAGGAGCATGTGGTTGTGGTAAGAATGGACACTTTCAGGCTTGCGGTGCAGGACTTGGGTGATTGCTGAATTGCAGGTATGGGCGGTAATCCAAAAATGGCTTGGCCTGGGAATTCTTCCTTGACCTTTGACCTTGTGTCCCTGCTTCACCTCAGCAGGCAGGAACAAAATGCCATGGGGATGGGGAATGCTAGTGCAGAATATATGGGAACAGTACCAACTCTACCCAAAAATGAAAGAGCAAAGTGCGGCTGTGCTACGGCCCTCTGCATAGCTGAGAGGGTGAATTCTTGCCTCTGTCTTTCTCTAAGAATTCTTTGTTCCAGCCTTTGGGATTCACAGCAACGTGGTAAATTACATTTATCCCTTTCCCCAGTGTCCTGGAGACTCTGTGTCTGAGAACTGACAGGTTTCATTTGCTGATCAAGGGGGGAAAACTGTCCTCCACTGGCACTGGCTGGCTTGGCTATGAGATCTCGGTTTGGGAGGGGGATGCTGTTCTATAGCTTGCTCTGAATTACTTGAAAAGGAGGTTGTTGCTAGTGCACTCAGTCTCTGGCCATTGTCTGTCCCTACCTACGTCCAGCTCTACCAGGTCATCCTACGTCTTTCGTCCATTTCCAAGGGAATGGAACCTGGGGTGGTAGGCATTAAACCTTCTCTTTACAAACAAAAAACCCTGGGATGCACATACTCACCAACTGTGCTCTCATGGGCTCTTTCCAAGGTCCCTTGGATTGTTCATTGCAATCAAGGGCTGCTTCTGTTTTAGTCTCCTAAGTTTTAGTTGAGCATTTATCAGATGTAATTCTGTCTGTTGGACATAAGATCAGAGCTCCCTCTCTGATTTCCTCCCTGGAGCAGCTTTATTGAGAGAGACTCTTGCCAAATTCCACACGTAGGTTGTGAACAGTTTTTAATGTTGGATTGGTCATTTTCTTTCAGTGAAAAGGCTTGATCTCCATTGCTGCCGCTATACTGTTCCAGCACATGCTTATCTCCCTGACGACTTTCCAGGGAAGCAAAGAGTGGGAAGTTCTGTTTTAACATCCACAGGTGCAGGGAGACATGGATTTCAACTTTCTCCATCATTTACTACTTTTTTCCCTCATCTTCTCCTCTCCCTCTCTTGGGACAGCCCCAATCCCTAACATCTGTAGCCTCCCGCAAGACTTCAATGCCTTTCAGTGATCAGTTGTGGGAGAGGAGCACTGAAGCCCGATGCACATGGGGGCCCCCATCAGCCTGATGTTGTGTGGTCACGTCAAATCCCCTGTGTAGCCAGGCCACCAAGTGAGGGACACGGCAGAGGAGGGATGGAGGCACTCAGTATCTGCAGGGATGTGTGTGATAGTGGGCTCACTTCTTTCACACGTATGATGCTCAGCTCCCTGACTTAGTACTTCTGTTTGCAATAGTGGACAGCCACAAGCAGTGAGTTATTGATGGCTTGTGTGGGACTTTGGATCAAAAATGAAGGTTGACCCTTACGATCAGTTACAATTGCGGGGTCTGCAGAGATGGTTTTCGGTGGGATTCAGTGGCTGAGGAATCAAGAGCTTGTCCTGTGCTGCCCTGACCACAGAAACATCATCTCACTGCAGTGCAAAAAGCAGCCTTTCTCTTGGTTCAGATCCACCCTTCAAATGCCCTTTTCCACCAGGCCTATGAAAGATAAACTTTGAGAGAGGTACGTTAACAGATCCAATCATTTTAAAAAAGAAACTCTGGAGTTCTTGATGGCCCTTTTAGTCCTCCAGTGCAGTTTGTTGCTGAAGTGTTTTGTCTGTACTGTTAGATTACAGTCTCCTGGGGGCAGGGAATGTGTGTTTTGTACAGTGCTGAGCACACTGGCAGCCCATTAATAAAAAACCAAACCAAACAGTCATATGCCCACTTGTCTCGCTCCTCTGCCCAAAGTCAGCCCAGCCTCTCTCTAAATACCATTGCTGTCAGTCAGCACAACAGTGCCAGGAAATCCCCATTCATGGTACCTTCATGGTATTCTCCACAGAGGAAATTCTTGCTCTTGTTCTTGTTCAAAGTGTGTTTCTGCTACTGAGTTTCCAAGAAGCCTTTCTGCAGCTTGAAGTACAGTAGCCCATATAGGCTGGGGATGAATCATTTTCTAACTCTGTCACTCATGTGTCTCTGCTTTGTTCTTCACAGCACCTTCAGCATCATGAGAGCGGGGTTGAGGGCGAAAGCTGCTATTATCACTGTGTCCTCTGTAACTATTCCACCAAGGCCAAGCTGAACCTTATCCAGCATGTGCGCTCCATGAAACATCAGCGTAGTGAGAGCCTGCGCAAACTGCAGCGCCTTCAGAAGGGCCTCCCTGAGGAAGAGGAAGACTTAGGTCAGATCTTCACCATCCGCAAGTGTCCAGCTGCTGATGCCGGTGAGTGGCAGTTCTTAGCTATTGCTATTGACTGGTGTATGTTCTGATATTTGATTTGGAGAGTTAAAGAGTTCGTAGAATTTCTCAGCCAGCTTCAGAATTTCCTTGTCATGGTCTGTCTCCCTCTTTCAAGGTGATAGTAGCCTTACAAGCCCCAGTCAGGATCAGAGGCCCATTGTGCTGGGTGCTGTACCAACACATCAGAAAACGTAATCCCTGCCTCAAAGAGCATACAGTGTAGGGCCCCGACCCTGTGAAGACTTGAACACATGTTTATTTCATATATGGGAGTTGTCCCATGGGCTTCAGTAGGACTAATTGCATGTGTGAAGTTAAGTACACGCATAAGTCTTTTCAGTCTGGGACCTAAAATAACTAGGGACATAAGAGGATGAAGGATAAAATCAAATTCAGTCAACTTTCATAGGTGGATATTTGCATTTTTTCCAGATAATTATAAATAGGGCCCTACCAAATTTACCGTCCATTTTGGTCAATTTCACAGTCATAGGATTTTAAAAATCACAAATTTCATGATTTCAGCTTTTTAAATCTGAAATTTCAGTGTGCTGTATTTGTTGGGATTCTGACCCAAAAAGGAATTGTGGGGTGGTCACAAGGTTATTGTGGGGGTGTTGTGGTACTGCTACTCTTTCTTCTGCGCTGCTGCTGGCGACGGCGCTGCCTTCAGAGCTGGGCAGCTGGAGAGCGGTGGCTGCTGGTCAGGAGACCAGCTCTGAAGGCAAAGCCGCCGCCAGCATGGGATGGTATTGCCACCCTTACTTCTGTGCTGCTGCTGGCGGAGCGCTGCCTTCAGAGCTGGGCACCTGGCCAACAGCCACCACTCTCTGGTCGCCCAGCTTTGAAAGCAGCACACAAGTAAGGGTGGCAATACCACAACCCCCCAAAATAACCTTGCAACCCTCCTGCAAATCCCTTTTGGGTCCGGACCCCCAATTTGAGAAATGCTGGTGTCCCCTGTGAAATCTGTATAGTATAGGGTAAAAGCACACAAAAGATCAGATTTTACGGGGAGAGATCAGATTTCACGATCTGTGATGCATTTTTCATGGTCGATTATAAATAAGGGTCAGCTATGCCATGTGCCCCTCACATCTTCATTCACTGATTGATTTCCTCTGGGTATTGCAGCAGAGGTGGCTCTTGAGGAGGGGTTTGGAGGAGGAGAGGAGAGTGGCCTACAGACTGGTTCTGAAGGAATGTTCCACGTGGAAGGGGCAGTGTGGAAGAAGGCACAGTGATGTTTGTGAGAGACACTGGCAGGGAGCTGGAGGAGGGGTTCAGCAGGGTGCATAATTAGGGATGGCAAGAGAACAGGAATTCTGTTTCACAAAAGTTTGTTGAGGTTTGGACATTTTTGTGTTCTGTATTGGAATGAAACCAAGACCTTGCAAAACTGTGTGTGGGGGGCCCTTAACATCCCAGAATAGCCAATAGTCAGGCCACTCACCTGTATTATGGGAGACACAGGTTCATGTCCTTGTTCTGCTTGATTCAGAGCAGGGTCTTGAGGGGTTTCCTATGTCCCAAGTGAGTGCCTGTGCCACTGGACGACTGGCTGTTTCTCTCTCTCTGCTTTTGACCAAAAATTCCATCCTGGGCCTCAAAAACCTTTCTGATGAAAGTTTTTTGTTTTTGACTAATTAGCATTTTCTGTTTGTTTGTTTTTGTTTTGTTTTTTTAAAGTATTTGTGGAAAGATCCCTGACCAGTCGTATCATAGGGACTGATCTCAGGGTGCAGTCATCAAGACAGGGTAAACATCTGGATGAACGCTTACATTGTGTGGATAGAAAAAAAATGCAGATCTTAGAAATGTGTTGGTGGATGAAGGGTTTGGTGGTTGCTGATATACATGTTGATCAAAGAGGAACTAAAATGCTTGAAAATACCTGAATAAGCAAAACAAAAGATCTCAAATCATTCAGGGTTAAATCTGGTTTTATAACCCGAGTAACCAGTCTGCAGGCTCAGGGGTTCTGTGGAGGCTGAGAGGAGGGAATCAAGCTCCTCACAGTTCACAACAGCAGTGAAAATATACTGTGGCTGCCACACTACCCCCGAGGCTGCAGCTCCTTGGCTTTCCTTTTGTGGGTGAGAGGAGATTGCTGGAGGCGATCTCGTGCTCCACCAGAGAAGACCTTTCAGTTTCCCAGTACAATGTATGGACGTGTAATGTACGACTCTGTGTATTTTGTAGCACATGTGAGTTTGCTAAAGGTGAAATGAAAAAGAATGACTTGGGCCCTTAATGCTATGTAAAGAAGGGTTGAAAGCCTTTTTTAAAGCAACACATTTTCTTTTTCTTGTACTTTTACTTTAGAAGTTCAAGACTTATCTGTTTTTTCTGGAAGACTTTATGAATTAATGGAGAACCATTAGGATTATGACATCACAGTAGGGTGACCAGATGTCCCAATTTTATAGGGACAGTCCTGATTTTTGGGTCTTTTTCTTATATAGGCTCCTATTACCCCCCACCCACGTCCTGATTTTTCACATTTGCTGTCTGATCACACTACATCACAGGTACTGAAGAAGTGGAACCTGACTAGCTGAGAGGGAAAGGGAATTTTGGAGAGTTTAAAACTTGTATTTTTTTCAACACTTATTTAACTAAAAGTCTTACAGACATTGGGGGAAAATCTCCCTTTGTTAAAGATTCAACAATCCTAGAATTCTAGAACCATAGGGTTAGAGGGACTGCAAGGGTCATTCTAGTCTAACCCCCTGCCAAGATGCAGGATTTGTTGTGTCTAAACCATCCAACAAAGATTGCTATCCAGCCTCCTTTTGAAAACCTCCAGTGAAGGCGCTTCCACAACCTCTAGGCAGCCTGTTCCACTGGCCTACTGTTCTTACAGTTAGGAAGTTTTTCATGAGATTTAATCTAAATCTGCTCTGCTGTAGTTTGAACCCATTGCCTCTTGTCCTGCCCTCTGTGGCCAGAGAGAACAACTTTTCTCCATCTTTTTTATGGCAGCCTTTCAAATATTTGAAGACTGCTATCGTGTCCCGTCCCCCCTCCCTTAATCTCCTCTTTTCCAAACTAAACATACCCAATTCCCTCAGCCTTTACTCATAGGGCTTGCATTCCATCCCTTTGATCAACTTTGTCACTTGCATCTGGCTCCTTTCTGGTTTATCAACATCCTTTCTATACATTGGTGACCAAAATTGGACAGAGTACTCCAACTGAGACCTAACTAGTGCTGCCTAGAGCAGTACTGTCATCTCCCAGGACTTGCATGCTATGCCTCTGTTAATGCAACCTAAATTTTTTTTTTTTTTTTTTTTTTTTTTTTTTTT